AAGTCGAATAAGCGCACAGGGGCGTGGACACCTAACTGATTAAACTACTAGCTGACCCGTGTTGTGGACGAAAGGAAGATGAATCACGTCGAGGCCTTACTGTTAGATGTGGAAAACTGCTGCGCAGACAAGGACATGAGCGAGACGAGAGGTGCCAACGCACACGGTAAGGTGCCAGACCTTATTGAGTGATAAAACGTGGTGACATCCCGGTCGTCCAATAACCAGATGACCGCAGCCGTCGAGGTTTGGATATCTGATCGAGCGACCGAGGTTCGTAGTAGCAATGGTCAGTAAAGGACGTGGAAAAGGCCTACATTCTCACAAGACAAGGGGAGGCTATAGGGCGTGGCAGCGCCACAGCTGCCGGATTAACGCAATTGCGTTAACGAAAGGCTTCCCGGGTTAGGGCTCTAAACGCAACTAAATCGGTGCGCTGTGGTGGTTGGGTGGGGCAACAACTACACAACAAACTACCGAGGTGGATTTTCCGGCCAGTACTATTTGCAATAGGTTTGAATGTTGCAAACAAATTCACAGGAACCAGATATATATATATATATATATATATATATATATATACCGCAGTGGAAATCGGTATGCAGTGCACTCGCCAACCTGGTGCTTCTTGCCCTTCTTCCCTTCCAACTGCCTTTGTGTTTTTGCGTACATGCATACATCACCGCTAGCACCGAAGACGCACACAGAGATTGGCATGAGGAAATTGCACGCACAGGAATAACTCGTGGGCTGGCTTCTGGCAATCGTGTTAAATGCGTAGACGCACGCACGCAGGCAGGCAGGCACAACATTTGCTAACATAAACGAGAGAGACTGTTTCTCGGTTCTACAACTTTCAACTAACGAGGTCATATTTCCTCAAACGTGTGCGTGCGAGCGCGTGAACAGCTAAAATATCCGTTACACAAACACAAACACATGCACAGCATAAATGGACCGCTGCAGGCGCCGTCGAGGATAGATGCGCTGGACCTGTACGAGGTTTAAATCAGGGCACACAACAGGCGTTATTGAGGATACGCACGCTTTGACAAATATCACACGTAATAGGGTGTGTTGACGTTTATGTGTGGGTTCCCGTCGTGCTAGCCACCTGCACCCTCTCCCCCTCGACTCTATCTTGACACCAAGCCCAGGTGAAAGAAAATGAAGTGCAGTAGATTATGCGCAAGTCTCCTCTTATTATAGGCTAGAGCATGCGCAACCTCCATTTCCACCAGTCTCCCCCGCGCTCTTGCACTCAGTCCGCTGCAGCGTACAGGATGGAAATCGTCGGAAACAACGGTCGAACTGTAGGATAAGGTGGGGGCACGGGCTTATGTGTGAATTCACAGACAGGGAAGTCAACACAAAGGCTTTTTTGTTACAATGGCACGACGGCACCAAGAGGAGAGATAGGTGCGGGATGGGCACAGTGCTTAGCAAAACTAAACAGCCTGTCTACGCGTGCCACACATGACCTCGTCCCCGGCAATGCATATACTAGGCTTCAGGTAAAGGTCCTCGATCCTATATAAGCGCGTATCCTAATGGTTAATTTAAGAGGCAGCTGCAGTCTGATCATCATCCT